ATCCGCGTCGAATTCATACGGCTCACACGACCGATACACCTCAGATGTCTCAGCAAAAGTATGCAGTCCACTGCATGCATTCCACTTCGACGTAACACTTTCGTGTCCGCAACTCTGTCGCAACAACCGATGCGCAGAATCCGTCGCAAACACTGTTGATGGAACCGCTCGAGGTGCCCACATCCCGCCGTTACTTCGTACACGTTTCGCTGCCGTATAGAACGGAAAGCACCATGGATTTGTACACCATCAGCTTCGTGCCAACGGTAAGCTGATGGTTGTTCCACACTCGGTATTCTAGCTTCCCGAATGCCGCCGCTGCCTTCGAAACGCGAATACGAAGCGCACTGTGAAGCTGCTGGTCAGTCGACGTCACACTCCCAAGGTAGCAGAAGCGGGAGGTGGTTTCTAATACTTCCGCACCAATCCTGATTTGCGGCGATATTGAAGATTGCATCTCCGGTAAAGGCTGAAAGAGGCAGACAGTTTTGCTTGTGTTGATGGTGAGACCGAAGTTTACCACTATCGAAGCCAGAGCACTAGTCATGTGCTGCAACTCCTCCGCGCTGTGTGCAAACAACGCACAGTCGTCAGCAAACAGCAACATACAGATAGTTGTCTCACAAATTAGAGTTTTTGCACCGGAACGACGGATGTTCAGCAACCAACCATCAATACGGTGCTCCACACGAACACCGTAAGCACAAGCCGCATCAAAATCACAAGACATCATTGCATGAAGATATATATTAAACAGGGCAGGAGCTAAGACGCAGTCATAATTCACACCAGAGTCAACTGCAAAGTCATCCGAGGTCTCTCTACTCAGCTGCATCCTCGCCCGCATGCCACTGTGTAGACATTCAATCGCCTTGTCCACACAACTCAGCAAGTTGATGCCACGATAATTCGTACAACATCGCTTGCTTCCTTTGCCCTCGTAGGGTGGTAGCACAAGGGCATCCTTCAGCTCAGGAGTCACCTCCTCCTCAATCCATACGCGTTGCCCCAAGTTGTGCAGCGCAGTCACCAACGCGGATCCGCCGTGTTTCAATACTTCAGGCGGGATCCCGTCGGCTCCGGCACACTTGCCGTTTCTCAGTAGAGCAAGTGGTCTCTGCGTCTCATCCAGTGTCGGCGTGTCCGCTGGACTCGGCTTCACATCGTGTTGCTTCAGGCCGTTCAATGTAGGCCAGTCGATCTCTGAACGGTTGTTCAAGAGACAGTCAAAGTGCTTTTGCCAGATCTGCGTTATGTCTGCAGTCTGTATGCAGGTAGCGACTGAACTACCGTCGATCAGCGTCTTTAGCGGATCTAGTCTCGGTCCGTACACCGCCTTCAAGGAGTCAAAGAATTCCTTGTGTTGGCGGCGTTCGGAGTAGCATTTCACCTGCCTCGCCTTCTCCGTCCAACGTGCATTTTTAATGCGACAGAGCTCTCGGGTCAGTCGCCGTTAAAGTTTGTGAACATGACTCTCCTTCTACATGTCACTGGGGTCTGCGACATATGTAGCAAATGCTGCATTCTTCTCCGACACCAATATGCCAATCGTCGCATTGTTCTCATCAAACCAATCAGGCCGCTTACAGTTTGCGCGCCCGATGGTCTCCTCGGCAGCAGCTGTCATCTGGTCGCGAGTGTGGTGCCACAGGTCGCCCACTGTGGCTATGCAGTCCACATCACACAGGCGTGCAGTCATCGCCTTCTTCAGCTCAATATGTTTCGCCACAGTACCGAGGGAGAGAATGTTAAATTTACGCCGATTCACGGAAGGATTGCGATACATAGGTTTACGAAAATATATGTACAGTTTGGTCCGCACCAATTTGTCATCAGTGCCACACCCAACTCCACGCAGTGCACGTATCATGCGCACTTCACTCATATCACGCTGACGTACGATGACATAGTCGAGCAGATGAGCGTGACCACTCTCTGTGTGCGTCCAGGTTGCTATATCACTCGCACTCAATGCAAACCGAGTGTTCGTGATCGTCAGGCCGTGGGTGGCACCCAGTCAGAGCAGTCTGTCACCGTTCGCCTTCGCTGAACCAATGCCATGCGCACCGATAACATCTGTCAACGCTGATGCATCGCGCCCAACGCGCGCGTTGAAATCACGTAGCAGAAATAGTCGGTCGCTCCTCGGCACAGACCGTATCACGGAGAATAGCTGAGTGTAGAATAGATCACGCGTGTCAGCAGGATAACACATGGTCGGACCGTACGTGCTTATAAGTGGCAAACTTACCTCTCGCGAGTCGTAGATGAACTGTCATCAGTCGCGCGCTGATGCCTGCTGGTTCACCCACCAGCTGGCCATTCAGGCGATCGGATATTGCAAATCCGACCCCATGTTCAAGTTGTGCTGAGGCGGCGTTGCCCACTCAGTAGAATGTGTAGCCAGCACCTGTTTCATGCAACTTACCTTGCTCAGCGAGCCGGGTTTCACTGAGCGCCGCAACATCGATGTTGTAGCGCGCCAGTTTCATTGCGACGAGTGCAGTGCGTCGCTCCGGGCGCTCGCTGGAGTTCCGGTCCAGTAGTGTGCGCACGTTCCAGTACGCGATGCTGAGTGCTTTGCGCGCAGGCATACGATTGCATTTGTGGGCAATCGCACTGGAGGTGGCTGTTGTGCTTAGGAGGTTTGTTTGAAGTCTTTGGCTCAATAGCCTGACCCACAAGGCAGGTGGGAGCAGGTCCAGCTCGGGAATGTGATTGCAGAGACAGATGGGGATCTGCTTCACGGCTGTCACACGCAGCCTTTGAGGTACTGGAACGATTCATTTATGTTTTGCGGCGGTAGTAGGTTGCGCACATACTACCACGGCCAGACGCAGGTGGGTTTTGGTGGGTTTGCACTAATTTGACAAGGGAGTGCCTGGCTTGAGGCGAGCAGTAGCACCTGGATGTGCCCTCCTTCCGTCAGACAATGCGTATCGCTCGTGCTCTATGTCAATCAAGCTATGAGCCTATAACCCCTAGACCTGTTGTCTCCCATGGCTAGGTTTAACGGGAAGAGGGTCATGGACCACTTCCTTACCTCCGAAAACGATGGACTAGGATACTGACAGCGTGTCCGTACCTGACAGGAGAACGACTCGGGTTCTCAGCCAAAGTCTTCCATTAAATGTACACTCGGAATGCAGCATGGTCGGTGGTCTGACTCATGCGGATTGGTGTCCTAAATCTTATTAGGGAGAAGGACATAACCCAACTCCCACCCAGCGGTCGCCACGAGGAGACGTCCAGGATATGAGCCTGTGGCGCAACAGTAGCAGCAGTAGGTGGACCATCTGTCAGGATTTAGCCACTACCAGCCTCAACGCACCACATGCTCTCCCACCATTTACTTTATATATATATATATATATATATATATATATATATATATATATATATATATATATATATATATATATATATATATATATATATATATATATATATATATATATATATATATCGCACCGCAATTTCGTGCTGTTGTCTGCGGGAGCGACGCATATATGCTTATTAAGTGATTTGCAGCCATATGCATCCATATTTTTCGCGTTAGCAGCGGTTTATTTATCTAAAACGTCCGCTTGTACCATTTTTATCCATCGCCAAGGAACACTTATTTTGGTTCAAGCTAAATTGTGCATACTAAACAATTTTAAGGTAGAAATTTCATAAATAACCAAATTAACTGTGTACTATAGGATATGGGACATCAAGACTTTGTGCAAGGAACTTTGTTTTTCGCATCTATTATATGAATTTTCATTTACGCGCTGCGAAATGGTGGCAAGCTACCATCGTCTTACCAAGTGGACATAGTCAAATTTTTAAGGGCAAAATGAGAGTTTCACTCGTTTCCAAAATTTGCATTTATTTAACGGAGCCCGGATGTGATGGTTTCCATCAAAACAATTCAGCTTTTTTAAGTTTCCCATAATCACACTTTTCGAATCGTTAGCCGTGTGGCTGTGTCGCTAGTTTTTCTTTTTCCTAATGTTCTCGTTTCTATTTGAAGTATTCTCACGTCAGCAGTGGAAAAAATGTGCCGCCATCGGCGACGTTCATTGAATTGAAATCTTTTTAACTGCCGTGTACTACTGAATTTTAAAAGGTAGTTCATTATATTAGGGTTTAAAGGGCGCAGCCTGGACACGGACTGTACCGTCTTGGTGGCCCGTTCGACCTCACAGTAGCGCCTACGCACACGTTGTATCAGCTGCTGGGATAGTGAGCTAGCGCTCAACGTCCGCGCGCCTTCGTGGTAGCTATCCTTCCGGTTGTCATATGCACTTTTACGCATTCTAGAAATTTCTATGTTGCATTCCTGGCTTGATTCCGCAATTGTTCTCTAACATGGCATGTACTGCAGACACGAATTAAAAAATAGCGATGGGAATTGGGTGTTTCCCGCCCGAGAGCACTGCACAACCACGACGCGTTTCGATCTCATTTCATCTCATTAGGTAGAGATAGCAAGCCTCGAACCCACGACCATTGGAATAGTAGCGAAAACACTACACCTTTGGCTACCGGCTCCCTTCTGGCAACCCTTGGCACAACGGTAGATGACTAATTGGAGGGTCAATTTTTGACCACGTTGTCTGATTGGATTGCGACGCGCAATCTCAATGTGGACCGCGATTCACATTGAAGTGAACCTTTGTCCCTGCGATTACTATGACCATAGTGAAAGCAGTCAGAAATTGGGTGCTGCTCACCCGATAACACTGCACAACCACGACGCGTTTCGGTTTCATCTCATCAGGTGGAGATAGCAGGCCTCGAACTCGCGACCATTGGAATCGTAGCTGAAACCTCTACCCCTTTGGCTACCTGGTCACGGCGGGCAATACCTGTCACAACGGTAAAAACTTATTGGAGTGTCAATTTTGGACTACACATTGTGTGATTGGAATCGCAGTCTGTTGGTACTCTTATGCGCTTCCTTCGGAGTACTTGTCTATTGTTTTTATCATTTCTCACCTTTATGTCCGTAGGTGAGACACGAGGCGTAGGCGGATTATTCTTCGATGATTTCGAAGGAGATTCGCATCAGGATGCTTTTGGATTTGTGAGGGTGAGTCACTTTGCGTTACATCGTCATTTGCCCCGCGTCTTCGTCGCATTCACTTGAACTTTGGGGTCCACTAGCCACGTTCGTGTGCTTATACGTTAGACAGCAGTGAAGCTCGCTAGTGCTCTCGTGTGTTCGTACGCTGATTTTCCATTTGTGGTGTCATCAGCGAACCACCCTTCACTCTCCTTGATCCCGTTTTTAATTACTTTTCTCTTCCTCCTAACCATTACTACTCCACGATATCAGAACAATACACCATTTGTGTGCTGTTGCTTATGTTAAATCTGCTTGCTTGAGCAGTATTCACTGAGCACGCGATTGATGAGGGGTAGGTAGGTGTGCGAGGACTGCTGATTGACAAGCACAGTTAATGGCGGAGCACGCATACCAACGCGTGGAATGTCAACTTCTAAACCTCTGTGGTGGTCAGTGTGGGGATGCTACCTCACGAACAACTGGTAGTGGCAGAGGGCCATTGAATACGGATACGGCGTCAATGTATCTGGTTATATCTCTATTCGGAGAAGCTAAACTGACTGGTTTTCTTTGAATTTGCAAAACCTACCAATGAAATGATCTACTCCACAAATCGGTCACTACTTGGTTTCCCGATATGCGGCGACTCAGTTCCCACGCACAAGCATTCCCCATAGATACCGCTATGCACTCATAGCGAGCTTTCCTTTTCCTTTAGTTTGAATACGGACCAATCTGACTCTGGTCTAATGATGGATCAGATCCATGCTAATTGCGACACTAACTGAACTGATTCATGCTCTAGGAATAACAGTGTATTTACTGTTTTGAAAACAGGTTGCCTCGACAGCATTCAGTATTGAAAATTGCGGCCAATTTGAGACGAAAGCACATCTCTAAAACGCAACTAAGGAATCGTGTCTGTGTTAGGGCTCCAATTTTCATCAACTGGCGCGCTGCTACAGCTGGGTACAAGTTGTCTACAAAACCACTTTGCCGTGCGCAGTTTGTTCGCAGTTAGTATAAAATCCGGGACTAAAACCACCTACTGCCACCCAGTTTCTTCTTGTATACCCGTCCAGGCTCAAGTACAATCAGAAAATCATTTTGATATCTCAGAGTATCTGAGATCCATCGGCATTGTATCTATTCGGTCAGATTCGGACAATAACTACTTGATGACAGGGTAAACTATTTATTATGGGCTCCATTACATCTGCATCCGGACGTTGATAGCATATCGGAGTCGCAATTGTTTGTTGAATGATATTGTTGTTTACAGCTAAACGCTTTTGTTGGCTAGGTTATTCCCTCCGTCTACTACTTAACCACGTTCCACCGTATACTGTTGAGCTGTTTCCGGTTGGGCGAGACCACGAGGTGGCCGGTCGATGGTGTGGTATAGAGTGTTCTATGATAACATTTACGCACATCCGAAAACGCACACAGAGATATGCCCACATACAAACTACTAGTTTTGGCAACAGCTACGGAAACACATCTTGCAGCCACAATGACACCTATGCTTCCTTCTAGTTCAATCGCTTGGCACATAACCGTCCCCTGTAATTCACTCAACAGCTAGGGCACTGTTCGTCTTCTGCAGTTTGCCGAAGCCTCCGCGATTTGTCGGCTCTAACGCACCTGGTGGGAGCGAATTTACTTCGTGAGGTTGGTGACCGCGTCCAACTGAGTGGGACCCTGGCCGGTGTCAACTGGCCTTTGACTGACCAGTGGAGGAGGCGTGCCATGCAGGAAACAGTGGTATGGACATTTTCTAGCAGTCCGTAGCTTTCCCCGGTTTGTTTGAGTACAATATGTGAAATTGTAAGCGAACTTACTTCTTCTGCTGTACACTTAGACAACCGATGAGAAACTTTGATTGTAACTTCAAGTTGTTTGACCGAACTGGAAACACATTTGCGCTCTGATCTATCGCACACTTGCGACGCGCGCTGCTATTCCCGCTTCCGTAGCCAGCACGATTCACCGGTTTCATTATATGGTGGCTCACTCTTACAAACGCACAATAAAAGCGTGTCCCACGTGATTCTGTTCCTCAGGATTGATTTTTGGGACTGTCCCCCCATACAATGCTCACGGGAAAACGCCCACTTTCACCTTATGTGTCACGTAAATAACTGTTAATGAAGCATTTATGATGAAATACAATACAACCTCCGTAAGTTATCCACTCAAGGGAACTGGACCATACTGGTCAACATAGAGAGGTAGTCAACATATGCTGGTCCTATACAACAGCTTAGCCTGCCCTACTATCTCATTGTTCGTAGTATAGGTTAGAATTTGTTTCACATACATAATGTTTCGAATATATTAGATGAACTCTTGCATAATTGCAAGCACGGTTCAATCATATAGCGTTCTAATCATGCAAAACGCTGTGTCTTCCTCAAAGATAAGTCATCTTTTGAGGAAAAAGTCAGTCTTCATTTCTTTCTCTTATAACAAACATAACTGCAAAAGCGCTCTCATCACAAGCTACACTACTCAGAATGCTTGGACATTTTCTACAACAAATGATTTCCTTTGCAATAAACTACACCTGACGAGCCATAAAGATGCTCGTTACGTTCCACCACGGTTGCCTTCGCAGTGTGGCTCACATTTGGTGGGAACACCGCGTGAGTAACGAGCGTGTTTGACGACTTGTTTATGGCACAGGAAAAGGAAATGAAACGTTCAGCACCGTTATTTCACTCACCAGGTTCCGATGGCTCGACCACGTGTTGCGCATTCCAGCCCACCGGCTCCCGCGGCGTGCGTTGTTTGCGCGCCGGGGGAGTGGATGGAAGAAGAGGAGAGGCGGCCAATCGATGACTTGGTTGAGAGGAATGAAGGCCTTCATTTCGAAGCTGGCCTCGGTTGGAGCCTCTCGGCTCCCTGGTTGGGGTCCGAAAGATGATGAACACGTTTGGTTGGATACACTTGCTGATATGGCTAGGAGCCTACCTCAGTGGCGTTCGTGCTGTGAGTTTCTTTGTCCCACCCCATCCCTCTTAGCCTCCCCCTCCAACCACGATCTCATTACTTAGCCTTATATAATTTTGCATAATAGATTATTTATTCTGCTGCGTAGTAGCCGGCTGGTAACTTACCGGAACGATGTCCATCCGTTACCGGTAGCTCAGCTGACTTTCACCTGTTGCATTTTTTCCTTTTTTCTTTTATGTATTGCTGTGGTGTTTCACACCACTAGCTAACGTGTGTAATTATGATGATGATGACCTCCTCATCTTTTGCAGATTCTGTGGTCTCCATATCATCTTCGCTTAATTCTTCATCAGGCGTTTGTTGTTTGTTCCCGTAAGGGTTGCATCGCGGTCAGTGTCACTTTGAAGATATCAACTGGGTCTAGTCCAGTACAGTTTAGCAAGTCATCATCCATTTCAAATCTATTCCCTTGAATTCTGTCATGGGGGAGATGGGATTTCTAATTACGCAACAGTGTCTTGCTCGAGTGTTGGAACGAATCCAGCTTTCTTGTAGCACTTTTGGTCTGTTTATAGTTGAACATTGTGCCAAGCGTAGCTTATCCAAAGCACACTCTCTAAGGCATTAACTGACCAAGTAGATGAGGTTTATTATCATATCTCCCCAAGTACTCATGCTTATACTGCGGGATGTTTTTAACTATTGTTTTGCTTACATCAAATTGTTTTGTCCTATTTCTTTGGCTGTTGCTTTCCAAAAGATAGCGTAAACGTCAATGTCGCCACGATCAAAGTGGTTAATGTAGAGTGTTGAACAGATTAGTTTAGAACCGGTTAATCGAAAAGCATTTATTTTCGGCAAATGCATGTATGGCTCACGAAATGAGCCGTACAGACATTTACCAAGATGGGACGAATGCCCTGATATATTATTAAGCAAATGGGTTAATAAAAGCTCGGGGAACTCGGTCAAGGACCGCAAGCCCATTACGTGTCAGTGTTTGTGTTGTTATAGTGATTGTTTTTGCTAGACTGCACCTCGCATATAAACCTCATATACATGTTGAATATGCACAGATCGGAAATATCCAGTGGACAGTCCAATGACTACAGGTGTTTTGCTCACGCCGGATGGATAAATCCTCTATTGTTTAAAATGAGCGGAAAATGTAGAATAGAGGAGATTGCCTGGAGTGCCGTTTGTGCGTAGTATCTGATGGTCGCTGCGTAATCACGGACATCGTATTTCTCAATTTTGTTTTGGGAAGATTGGGCCATCCGGTGTGCGTCACTGACAGCCATATCCCTCACCTAGATAATAACGCCCCGGCAGGTGAATAGATCTGGTTTGTTGTAAGTCCTTGGCGTGGGGACGCGTGGTTCTGAGATGACTGTAGCTCCCCGACGGTGTAGAATCGTTGCAACTTTGTTGGCAATATCATTATGCCATTTGCAGCATGCATCATGAGTTACGCTGCAAGGTTAACGCGTGTGAGAGATTGATTCGTGTTGACCAAATGAACCGCATCAATTGAGATCGGATGGGGAACGCGGTGGTCTGCCTCTGACGTGTCTGACTTTTGTAGGAAGGACGCCTGCGCGTCTTCTTTTCTATGCCCAGACCGTACGTATGATATAACCTCACTGGCTTACAGTTTTATATCCAGTCACGTGCGGTTCCTTAGTTTAGGCTTTGTATTGATTACTATAGTTGAATAGTGCAATTTCGGCTGTTTTTGAATTTGCTGCTTCTGATATTACTGATGCTGAGAAACGTTGCAATGCCGAAACCCAAATTAGAACGCTAGGTTCGACTCTGACTAACCTGCGTTTACAGGCTAAGCAGTATAAAGATAATGTTTATTTCGGACGCGATGCCATGTCGGATCGGCCGATTAGTCAATGGACTGATTCTTTGCCCCATGACATGTGCAGTGTTCCATCTGATTTTGCTCTTCGGCCATCTTCCCTAAAGTCGCTTGTCGTTCGTGGCAAGTTTGTATTATCCTTTGGCTGTTCGGGTTCGAGAACGGGCGGCAGACCTCCATTTAAATTTACAAGATGCTAGTG